AGAGGCAGAGGGAGAAGCAGGCTCCCCAAGGAGCAGGGAGCCCGATACAGGACTCGATCCCAGGACCCCGCGATCATGACCTGAGCTGAAGGCAGACACTTAACTGACTGAGCCACCCAGGTGCCCTATTTTTAATTTTTTTGAGGCAGATAAAGGTTTGCTTTATTGAGTAACTGATCTGTGTAATTGCTGAGGCCACTGTGTACAGACAAAAGAGTGGTCTCTTCCTCCTTGGATAGAGTCTTGATGATTTCCTCCTCCTTGGTCTGGAGCAGCTCTTCACGGTGCTTGTATGCTTCCTTGGTCTTAGATCTGTGGGCCAGAAGCTTCTTGTGCGCCTTGTCTGCCTCAGTTCGTGGATGTGTTTGATGAAAATACACTTGTTTTTCAACAGGTTACCCTTCACTTTCGGGTACAAGCTGTGATACATGGGGAGGTAAATCTTCTTAGATTCGAGGTATTAACTGAGCAGCCGCACAGAATTCTCATCCTCCTCATCCAGGTCATCTTCTCAGGCATTTGAGTCTTGGCAGTACCTTTTCTCTTACCGATGCCCATATGCCTACCCTTGTGGCAGGCCAAGGTGATTTTCTGGTACTTGAGCCTGGGAATGAATAGCACAGTCTTCTGGATGATCAGCCCATCCTTGATCAGTTTCTGGATCTACTGATGGGAGTTGGCATTGGTGATTTCACTGGGGTCCAAACAGACCTTCTTTTTGCCACAGCGGAGGACACTGGAAGCAAGCCTCTTCTGAAGCCTAAGTCTACTTATGGCTGCCGCCATATTGATAAAAGGAAAGTATTTTTAACTTTTTGAGGAGCCTCCCTACTGTTTTCCACAGTGGCTGTACCAGTTTGCATTCCTACCAACAGTGCAAGAGGGTTCCTTTTTCTCCACATCCTTGCCCCATACTTGTTGTTTCCTGTGTTTTGATTTTAGCTATTCTGACAGGTATGAGGTGATATCTCATTGTGGTTTTGATTTGCACTTCCCTGGTGATGAGTGATGTTGAACATCTTTTCATGTATCTGTTGGCCATCTGTATTTCTTCTTTGGAGAAATACCTGTTCATGTCTTCATATTTTTAAATTGAGTTATTTGTTTTTTGGGTGTTGAGTTGTATCACTTCTTTTTATATTTTGGATCCTAACCCTTTATCAAACATATCATTTGCAAATATCTTCTCACATTCCGTAGGTTGTCTTTTAGTTTTGTTGATTGTTTCCTTTGCTGTGCAGAAGCTTTTTATTTCGATACAGTCCCAATTGTTTATTTTTGCTTTTGTTTTCCTGGCCAAAACTGAGGAAGTTTTACTGTTGAACAAGACTTGGTTGGCAGAAGGATGGAAAGGCGGTTAATAGATAACAAAGTAGTTTGGTATTTGAACAATATGACAATCCAAAAGACCAAGTGTTATTTTGGTCCATACAGGAAAAGGAATGACTCAAAATTTGAAGAAGGGAGGGAGAGAGAAGTACTAGAATCTTAGTTTATCTTAGGGGGAGTGGTTGAGAGGTTTGTCTGCAGTAAATCTCCGTGGATACAAGCTGGTCACTGCTTCTATTCTGTGAGATGATCTGCTTCCTTTTTCTATATCTGAGATGAGAAATAGTAACTAAATCCAATTACAAATTTTTATTTACTTGCTTGGGGGCATCAAAGGTGGACTTTTTTCTTTTCTAATGGAGTCATTATAAATTAGCAAGAATATATAAATTCTCCTCACAGTGCATGATGTAAGAACTGTAGGACATCTCACACTTACAAAAGTTGTCTCAAGAGGAAAATGGCCTATGTCTTACTGTACCACATGCTTCCTAAAGACAGGTTATCAAATAATTCTGTTCAGAGATGAAAAAAGCATTGTGATATCTAAATGACCAAGATACCCCTGGTTTGCTTCACAGGATTGTCTAAGGGTCCCTTTCCAAACCTGTCAACTAAATGTAATATCCTGCTTACATGAAGATGAGCACCAATCTTACATCAGTAGGATTTGAACCTTTGAGTATTTTTCAATAGAAGTAGCACAAAAGGAAAGTTATTATTTGTGTCTGGGTAGAACACAGTATGAGAGAAATTATTGCATTGGGAATATCCCCATCTTTGTGGAAGCATGAACTAAAACCTTATTTAGGGCTATTTTCCTTCTGGAGTTTAGAATGCTTTTATTGCTGGAGATCAATTTTACAATGAGTGCCAATATGTCTCTGTAAGTTTTAAAAAGTAAAATGTGCTGCCACTAAAGTTTTGTTGTATAGAATCTAAAGGTATGTGTAAAAGGCAGACCTGAGGGAGGTATTAGATTAATTTTTCAAGTTAGATTGATTTTAAGGAAAAATATTTTGATGCTGCTAATTTGTGTGCTACTCATCAGGAGAGAGATTACTTCTTGAATTGCTTTCCAGGGTGCATTTGAGTAACAATTAAATACTTGATAAATGAAATAAGCAGACACATATTATGTATTAACTATTCCAGTGACCCATATCACCTGCCAAGCAATAAATCTGTGGGATAATAAATTGGTGGATACTCTAGATTGGGTGGTCAAGGATATTTGAACTGAGATTTAAATGATAAGGAGCAGTCAACTATTTAGAAATGCAGGGTGACCTTTCCAGGTAAGCTAAGAAGCAAAAGCCTCAAAATGGGAATGAGCTTGACCTGTTAGAGGACCAAAAAGAAGGCTGCTGAGGCTGGAGTGGAGGGGCCTGGGGCAGAATGGTAGGACTCGAAAGCGAAAGGAGGTACAGATCATGTAGTACTTTGTAAGTCAGGATGAAGAATTTAGATTTAGTGCTTAGGAAGATGGGAAGCCATCAGTGTATTTTAAGGGTAAAAATGCTCTGGCTGGTTGTCGTGAGTTATGGATTAGAGGAAGGCAAGAGAAAATGGGATGGAGCTGGAGGTAGGCAAAATGTAGGTTGGGGCAATTGTCCAGAACTGGGTGGTAGTAATGGGGATGGAGAAAAGTGAGTGGGGCTAGAAGGGGTTGAAAGAAAGGTGTGGTGAAAGAAGCCAGGTGGGCAGGCAATTAAGATAAGCCTCTAGGTCTAAGTAGGGAAAACCAACACCTCACCTACAGGAACTTTGGTTTGCATTCAGGCGGTAAGGACTCCTGAAGGACCTTTTAAAAACCAGTCTGTCCCAGTCACTGAGGACCTGGCTAATTAGTGACTTTTGATCTCTGGAGATATTTCTATAATCAGGGACTTGGATTTTTCACTCCCTTTGCTTTCTTTCTAGACAGGCTTCTTGGATATCAGGAGTGGGTGGTGGGTAATGGGGATCCCGAGGATGGTGAATTTGCCCTAAAGAAAAACTGGGGTACTACACACAGCCACTTACCTAGGCAGCCTCACAGTTCAAAAAAGAGAGGCAGGGAGGCTTAATGCTTATTGTGCTCTGGGCCAGAAGTTTTACATACCACATCTCATTCCCTCCTTTTGATAACTTGTGAGGTGCATTTTTAAATACCAATTTTACAAAAGAGAGGCAGAGACAGAGATACTCAGATAGGTTATTTATTTTGTCCAAAGTCACACAGCTTGTAAGTGGTGGAGCCAGGACTGGAATCAGAATGGGGCTCTCTGTGCTCCCCACACTGCCTCTGAATTGGAGTTAGTCTGTTTGCCTTCTTTTCTCATTACCACATAGATTCCATGAAGAGCTTATCCTGGGGAAGGCCATGATTTCTCTTTGTTATGTTTACTATATTGGCCTCCCCTACCCCGCAGAGCGCCTAGTAAAATGCTCAGCAAACATGCCTGCCTGGAGGCAACACCCCTACTTGCTGCCACATGTGGGGCTGGGGTGAGAGGCAAGGCAGGGCTGGTGAGGTGGATTGCTTTGCTGCTGCTGCTGCTACTAGGGAATGGGGAGGGACTCTGCTGCCTAAGCCTTGGCTCGAAGGCATTTTCCATTTCCTAGCCCCCTCCTCCATCCCTCAGCTGTCGCCCCTCCGTTTCAGCTCTGGCCCCTAGGGGAGCGTCCCTTGCCGCGGGGCTGACAGCACTTGGGGAGCAAGGTCCCTGTTCTCTGCTGCTCTAGCTCTGTGCACAGAGCTTCGTTCGCGGGCGCCTGGTGTCCAGCGGGCACTGATGTCAAGCAGTGGCGGAGCGCTGCCTACAGACGGTTGACCTGGACCCTCCTCCACACCCACTTCCTTCGTCGCCCCCTCCCTCTTGCCTGCACTCGGGCTCTGACTCTCTATAAAAGGCGGGAGCGTGGCGTGCCACAGCAGCTCCGAGTTTCAGCACCATGGAGAGCCCCCGTCTTCGGCCGCTGGCCCTGTTGGGTGCCGCCCTGCTTTTGCTGCTACCTCTGCTGGGCGCCGGGGCCCAGGAGGACGCTGAGCTCCAGCCCCGAGCCCTGGACATCTACTCTGCCGTGGAGGATGCCTCTCATGAGAAGGAGCTGGTGGGTATCTCCCGGATCCCCCTTGGCTGCCGCCCGGTCCTTTCCTTTGTATTCGTCCATCTTCTTTCCCTCCTTCCCCACCCCCACTGCCAGAGTCGGGGTGCAGGGAGATGAGCGTAAAGCCCAGGCTTACATCTGTAAATCGTCTGGAGCCCACTGCTTCAGGCAGTTTGTAGAGTGAATCTCCTGTCCCGGGCCCTCGGAGCAACAGGAGCCTCAGCGTCTAAGGGACTTGCGGTCAGTATGTGAGACAGTGCTCGTTAAGTTAATACCCCTCGAACGTCCCTTTCTGTCCTTGGAGTCCCAGGGTGGAGTGCGTGTGGTTCCCGGGTTCTTTGTAACTAGGGCTGGGAGTGAGCACCTGGGTTGGGATCGCAGCCAATGCAGCAACTTTGGGCTCCGGGGCGATGTGTTGCAGATCGAAGCGCTACAGGAAGTCCTGAAGAAGCTCAAGACTAAAAGTATTCCGATCTATGAGAAGAAGTATGGCCAAGTCCCCATGGTAAGGCTCTGGGATCACCCCCTCCCCATGTTTTTCTGAGAGGAAATATACCACCTTGAGTCTTATACATTGACCTCCCTAGGACGCAGTTAAATCAGGTAATGGGTTTGCAGAATTTTGTGGGCTCTTTTATTTTCCACCGCCAAATCATACCCCTTGGTTTCTAAGGGCAAAGAGTAGAATGGCCATTTCGGAGGATCCAAGAGCTGGTGCCAGGAACCAGCTCTTGGGTCTGTGTGGAAAGGAGCATTTCTTGAAGATGAGCTTTTTTCCTTTCATGAAAAATTCTCTGAATTGGAAGAGCCCTTAAATCTACTCAGTTCTTGTTCCTCTAATTTTCTTCTTGCCATCTGGAGCACTGCCAGTTTTTCTGATCTATGTTTTAAGGTCAAAATTCTTGATTCCCCGCTTGTCACTTTCCTTGGGGAATTACACATGCACACACTCGTGTTCTCTCTCTCTTTCTCTCTCTCTCTCTCTCACACACACACACACACCCCTCTTCCTTGGGATGAGGAGTCTGAAAGCAGGGAGCAGAGGCTGTGAGAAAATACAGGTCTATTGTTTATTTCTTAGAAAAATGTCTGGTTGATTATTTTCTTTTTGATAACAAAGGGAGCTAGAAAATGTACCCCCTCCCCCCAAAATAAAAGGTGGAATAAAGTAGGAGGAGCTCAATAATTTAAGTTTTTTTCTTTTTATGTTCTCACTGAAATTTTAAGGCTGTGTTTCAGGTCTGACCATACTTAGACCTCCGGTGATAGTGATAGGTTCCATCTATCTCTCCTAAGAGGCAGACATTGTGTTGATGGGGGAGATGTGCCTGTTGGGAGCCTGGGTTTGCTTTTGTGGGAAGACCACACATTGTGTTGTTTTCAGTGCCACGCTGGGGAGCGGTGCGCAGTGCGAAAAGGAGCGAGGATTGGGAAGCTGTGCGACTGTCCCCGAGGAACCACCTGCAATTCTTTCCTTTTGAAGTGCTTGTGAGGCATCCACCCGCCTCCATAAATCCCCACTGCCTCTACTTCCCCCAGAGGACCACACCATCTCTGGAGTTCGCCTTTAGCAACAAAGTTTGCATTTCCCTCTGAGGGTTAAGGGGCTCTTTTCCTGCTGTTCCCAAATAAAAGAACACATTAGATGTTACTGTGTGAAGGATAATGCCTTGTATGGTGTTGATACATGTGCAAAGTATTCTTTTCTTATTCATCTGACACACTCTTTGTGTAAAGAAGGGGAACTTCTGCTTTGAAAATTGTATTTTTGTATGTGGTGTGGCCGGATGAAAATTAGATTTAGTTAATCTTGGTAGATGACATCACAACCTGGAAGATGACCCCAAATGACACAAATTGCAGCATGTACAAATTATACATAATAAAGTGTTTTTAATAATTGCTCATACTGTATCATTGTTTCTATGTCATAAGTAATTTAAGTAAGAATGGTGGAATTAATCATGCTGTTGTTTTCAAAGAGAAATATTTTAAAAATAGCAGCCTATTGGGAGTACAGCACCTTGGCTCCAAGGAGTTTTCATCATTAATTGGGAGTTTGCCACACAAACTTTTGTGCACTGTTTTTCTTTGATTGCTGTGGGGTGTGTGTGTGTGTGTGATAGCGTTTATTAAAACCTTTAGTAGACTCCTTAATTTTCACAGTGAGAACAATAAAAGATAAATTGTTTCAGACTTTAGCTCCATTAAAAGCAGTTTGAAAAATTGGAATTTTTGTTTTGGCTACTCCTTTATTAGAAAATATTCATTGATAAGAAATGGATTCTTTGGGGGCTTGTTCTTTGTCCAAAGGATGGGAAATAGCTGTATTAGGTATTTTAAGGGTGGGAGACCCACTTATTCCCACTACTTAATATACAATCTTGCATGGGGCAACTGGGTGGCTCCGTCTGTTCAGTGTCTGCCTTCAGCTCAGGTCATGATCCCAGGGTCCTGGGATTGAGTCCCATAGCAGACTCCCTGCTCAGCGGGGAGCTTGCTTCTCCCTCTCCCTCTGCCTCTCCTCCTACTTGTGTTCTCTCCCTCTCTGTCAAATAATTTTTCCAAGATTATATATTTTTAAGATTTTATCTTGAGGGGAACAAATGAAAATTGATAGGTGGTAGATTCAACTCAAGAAATATAAAAATCTTAAAGGTTAGTAGCCTTTAAATGTTTCTGAGTGTTTACCCGAGGTCACATTTCTAAGGGCTTAAACCAGAGTAAATAACATGTAAGAAGAAGCATCAGGAGACAAACAGGGGCTTATGGTTTCCCAGTGCAAACTCAAGAGGCACCTGCATAATATTAGTATTAAGAAAGAAAATCCCTCCCCTGCTTCCTGGGGAGATAGAGTATGCTGATAGAAAATATGCTCATACATAATTGCTATTTGCAGTATTTTCATTGTTACTATTAGCATGGCTCATTCCCTTAATAATCTTCCAAGATAGATACTATTACCATTTTTTGGAGAAGGAAGCAGAGGTCAGGAGAGATGATGGAAATCATCTTGGTCAGGTCACATAATCCTAAATCCTGATTTCAGCTCTAATCCCTCTGACTCCCAAGATTTATTTGCCTTTTGCTTCCATAACACTCTGGGCAATTGAACAGGTTGTTTGGACTCCCAAATTCCCCAGAAAGCACTTCTTTCTTTAATAGAAATTAGCTCACTTGGGTGGCCGATGTATTTTTGGGAGTCACATTTCTATTTGAATTCCTCTTTGACAGGCTTAGTTGTGATTGAAATGTGTTACATTTTAATCCTGAAAAACTGCGAGGAGGTCATTAATGGTTTCATTGTCTGCTACTTTTCCAGAAAGTATTTAAGTTAAAATCCTGATCTTGAGCCCCTTAACTGTTCTCATTCGTGTCAGTCCTAAATAAATAAGATCAGGAAATTGCTTTAATCATTGATTACTGCACAGGCAGGACCCTGGAGGAGAACACTGAGAAGAGCTTCCTATCGCAGCCTGGAATGTTTCCCCAAAAGGAAGAGATGCTGGAGGACTTCGTGGTTCAAAGACAGGAATAAGAATTCTACTCTGACCCCTTTAACTCTGTCACCCCTACTTCTATGTCACCCCATTCTTTCTTGTTTCATTTGACTAAAGGACATGGACTTAGGGGTAATTGGTAATGAGGAATCTGTGGGCTGGTTATGAAAGGGTTTTTCCAAAAGTTTGGTCTGGGGATCCAGGTTTTAAGTTCATGGTGGTAACGACATTCTATACTAACGATGGCAACATTTAATCTGAAGTGGCTTGGTAGACGTAACCTTGCCTACTCATTTTGTCAGTATTAGACCTCTTCATTTTTTTTTCTTAAAGATTTTATTTATTTGAGACACAGAGAGAGAGACAGCACAGAGGGAGCAGGAGAAGGAGAAGCAGGCTCCCTGCTGAGCAAGGAGCCTGATGCAGGGCTCGATCCCAGGTCCCTGGGACCGCGACCTGAGCCGAAAGCAGATGCTCAAAACACTGAGCCACCCAGTTGCCCCTAGACCTCCTGTTCAAATAGAATGCCTTACTATGTTTAATGACTGAAGGTCTCTGTGGTAGAGGATAAGAATGTTAAATATTTTTAAAATTTTAATAAAAGAAGTAGTTATCCATGTGCAGTCACCATGTATGAGCCCCAGAGATCTTCTGAGATTGGCTTGAAGGATCAGGGGTCTGAGAGTTGGCAAGTATCTACATCTAAAGATCTGAAGAACGTTACAGGCATAGGAATGGTGTTTCTAGAACAGTAGTTCTCCCATGGTCTAGAGGTGATAGGTGAAAGTTACTAGAGGACTTGTCTCAACTACACATAACCACTGCCCTTCCTACAGTAATTGCTGATGTTTCACCCTTCACTCTTTGCTAGAATCTGGAGGCCTGTGAGGGACACATGCTATACCTAGGTACCCACACACCCTTCCCAAACCTGATAATGGTACATCGGATTCTGGTTATTGACAAAGATTCTTTCTTGACCAGACTTGAGTCAGGTTCTTGAACCTCCTTCTGAGCCTATCTATGCACTCCCTTATAAAATCCAGTTTCAGCAAGAATCCTGATAAATCAATTTATCAAGAGTCCCACATCCCTCTCATCTTCCACCATCCCCCAGGTGATGTCTGGGCACTTTGACCTGTCTTTAGCAAAGATCCCGTTAGGCTGGTTTATCTTGAATTTCCCTGACCCCTGATGTTTCCCATTAGTAATTTCCCATCCACTTCTTGGCTATAAATTCTTACTTGCCCATGCTATGTTAGGAACTGAGCCCTGTTCTGTACTGAAGTCTCTTTTCCCCTATTGAAGTAGTCTTGAACAAAATCTATTTCTATGGCTATAATGACCAATTCTGGTTTTTCTTTGACAGGGGAGACTATTTAGGATTGTGTAGTTTAAATAAGATCCTCAGATTGTTCTGCGAAGCTTCCTACCCTAGAACCACTGCAATATTGAGCTTGTTTTTGGTATAGTCCCATTCATGCTACACTTTTTTGAGTGCCTTCCATGTGTTGGGTATTGAGAACATAATGATAAAGAAGAGAGACATAATCCTTGTTCTTGAGTTTACAATCAAGTGATTTATAGTCTTTTGGTGAGAATAGATAATAAGCAAAAATTATAAGCCATAATAAACTTTATGAATTTATCTATGAATTCTATGAATTTATGTTGACATGTTGAGGCTGTGGACTCTTAGAAAATGAATACCAGATGAGGTCCAAGTGGCTTTCCCAGGAAATAAGTCTTTGGGCCCCTCAGGTGTACACTTTTGCCTTGACCAGGTGGAACTTACAGATGTTCGTAGATCAGCAATATCTCAAGGGAAAGCAAGGCTGAGAGTAAGGAGGGTGGTGGTTCTGGCATCAGCTTTCAGTGTTCTTTATTTCACTGATGGGTGGGTGTCTAAATATAATTCTCTCTTGCCTGGCTAATGTGTGTTTATAACTTGTTTCCTTTGCCTTTGTAGATGTAGGTGCTCTGTTCAGGGTCTCCAGTCTAGAGGGTCTATCAGCACAACAGTTTTGGTTTAAGAATAGTTTATGCAAATATTTCTTTTTTTTTAAATAAAAAAAATAAATAAAGATTTTATTTATTTGACAGAGAGAACAAGCAG